TATATATATATATATATATATATATATATATATATATATATATATATATATATATATATATATATATATATATATATGTATATATATATATATATATATGTATATATATATATATGCATATATATGTAATACATGACTGAAATTTAAACTCTGCTATATCTTGCAAAATCCTAAAATTCAATACCAGTCGTAATTTTTTAGGCTACTATTCATACCATGGACTCACAATCCAGCATTGATCTCAGAGATTTTATTCCACCTGAAGAAGCTGTTTACTCGCGGATGACATCACCTGTCGACACTACTTTTATTGATATAGAGAAAATCGGGTTTGTATGAAACGAAGTTCCTCGCATATCTTCCAAGATTTATTTCTCACGTTTTAGGAAACTTGTTACCGGATGGTAATTGTTTCCTTACAGATTTGAACGATCAAAAGGTGGCGGTCTTTTCTCTTGGTTAACTTCATCAGATCGTGTAGAAGAAGTGGCTGGGTATGAATGTAAGGTAACTATCTAGAACTTATAATAGATGTGAATGAATGGTCGTAGTGAAATTAATGGATACGGTTATTCTCAAAAACATTTTTTCGGTTATTTATGATTGGAAAATTGAAGCATTTCAAGGTCTTTAATGCGAGTAATGTTGACATAGTGACAAAGACACGCACGGAGCATTTGCTGGAAGGAGATAAGGAAAGGTTTGTTAATATATCATATCCGTTTTATATTGTTTAGAAAAAGGAGCAGAGAATTTTAGGTGATTCTGAAAAGGTCTCATAGGTTAATGTTGTTGGGCCTTTGAATGCAATATGATTTTAATAACTTGACCGATGTTTCGAAAAATTAGTTCTTTATTCAAACACCAGAAAAATTTACTTTTCTAGACGATGTAATTTAATTTACATAAAAAATAAAGTGGATTAATAAAAATTGTAATGTCGCAAATAATCAGTCAGTTGTAGATTCCGACACGAAGAGCATGAAAATCCTTTGTACAGAGTATTGAAATTGGCTGAAAAACATCAGAAATGCACCAGCGAAATGAGACAAACGGGGAGTGATGTGTATTGCGGTCTAACAGCGCAACAGTATTTGGATAAGAATTATTCTATGAATAATCGTGACATCGGATTACCAAAACAGGTTCTTTATTTTCAAATTCCGCGGCATATGGCGATGACGGTACAGACTTTTCAATGAAGGATGTAATATAGATCGAGAGAACCATTTGTGGTCAAATAAGTCTAAAATTCATTTTCCTTAAAGCTCCTTAGTTTTAATTAATTTATTCTGTGTTTGTAGTATAGCGAAATATTAAAGCTTACTGAGTTGGCAGCAAGTTTCTGGCGTGACGTACTCCTTTTCTGAGGCAAAACGTCTGGTAAATATAGATGATATTTATCTTCTATTCTTACTGCACGAATTTATTTGGGAAGTATTTCAAAACATTTTCGAATGAAGGAAGAAAGTTTCGCGAGTAGCAGAGTGAGTGTGGAGTAGAATACCTTAGAAATCGGCCTAAATCCGAAATATAATTAAAGCTGTATTAGATAATTTAACAAGTATTTTTTAAGTCCTGACTTGAACCTTTTACAGTTCTAACTTGAATCAATTTAACGTCTTTTAAAGCTATAAACGACTTTGCATAATGCATTGCTCCTTTTTTTAAAGGATATAATTATAGTTTCCTTACATCGTTTGTTTTCTGTTATTAAATTTAAGGTATGAGGAATTTGGTGCTACATTACTGTGAAATAACTTTATGTAAAAATATTTCTGCTTTTTTAGGTGACGAAGAAGACCAGTTCGTTTAAAGCTACTTTATGGCTTTGTGACCATTACCCACTCGATTTGCAGGTCCGGTTTTTCAAATGAATTATTAAGCGATGATAGCATATTTGGTCCTATATATTTCTGGCCAATGAAACTTCAAAGTTTGTTTGAAAAAACGAAAAGATTTGTTGTTTTAGCAGTATTTTTTATCTGGAATCATTCGGCTTGAAACATTGTGAACCAAGAAGCATCACAACGAAATTGTCTGATGTAATGCAGAAAAAATTTGAATTTCATTGATCTTGACCACTTTTTTCATTTTCAATTTGAGTTCCATTTTATCTGATTATTCCAGGATCAAGTATTACCAGTTATTGATCTAATGGCTGTAAACAATGTCCATTTCGCTCGGCTGAAGAATTTCATCCAACTGCAGTTGCCAGCTGGTTTTCCTGTAAAAATTGAAATTCCGCTATTTCATGTTGTTAGTGCACGAATCACTTTTTCGGCAGTAAATATACCAGGACCTTATCTTTCTTACAATGTTTCATCAAACGAGGTGAATTTTCCATTCTTATGTGAATGTGGATTAGTGAATTTGTCGTGCCAATATTTTCAAAATAAAATGCATTGTGATACTACATGGGCATGGATATATCTTACAAATGAAATTTGTGTTTTCAGGTGGAATTCGATCCGACGATTTTCGAAATCCCCAAGTATTACCGTTCTCTGAATAACGGTGATTATGGCCTGTGCATAAACGGAAACACAACCGTCCGCGAAATAAGTTCTAACGGAAATCTTGCATCAAGAAGATGTTGGTTCATTTTTTATCTTCATAGTTGCTAAATCCAAAAATTAGCAGTTCAAATGGTTTCGGTCCTTTTCCATCTATAGCATTTTATAAAACATAAAGTAGGATATTAGCATTTGCTGATCTGAAAATAATCGGCTTCATGCGTTTAACTGACTCAAGAAAAATTGCTTCAAATTTGGTAATTATGAATTCATTACTATTCCCGGCAGTAATGATTAAAATATATTGAATTATTTATTTGGATAATTTGGATATCCTTGGTCCTTGCAGACGTATCGGAAGATGAACTCTATCTACAGTTTGCACTGGAGCAAAGTATGCGCGAAGCAGCAGGCCCACCAACAGCAAGTGCTAATGCCTGTATCGCAGCATCCGTGGGCGCTGTCTCAGATTGGCATGGAGACACAGATTTAGCATATGCTATAGACGAAAGTATACGTACTCTTCGCCTGGAACAGTTGATGAGGGAAGGTACTACAACTATCGATGATACCACTGCCACAAAGCGACAGACTTTTATGGTATTTTTCAATTCTTTATAGATCACTGCAAAGTGCGCTAGTTGTGCAACCGTGCTGACTCGGAAATGACATCTTATTCAATTTTGAAATTTTAGGATGATGATATTCAGCTTGCAATAAGGCTATCGAAAAAAGACGAAGAAGAAAGGCTGAAAGCATGCGAAGAGCAAGAGGAAGAATTAGAACGTATCATAAAACTATCTCTCATCGAGAAATGATTATATTTAGTATTAATTGGGGTTTCATTTAATCTTTTGATAATTGTTAATAAAGATGATGGTCACTATTATCTGGTCAGTTGAAGCTGTTTTGATTAACCGAAGTTCTCTGAAGTACAAGACTGGAAAGGGGAGTGCAAGTGGCCTTTATTTCAACTGTTCAAAGAGATCATAATTCTGCTAGAATACGGTTGAAGTTACTCAATAGAGAAAACAAATTACAAGCTTTTAAAAATTTTACCATTGATTTTGAATTCGTGCATTTCAGCTGTTTCCTAACCATATTTTATATATTTTCAACGATGTGGTCATTGTAATTTAATCATCAAATTTCAAATACATTTTAGCAGTTATTTGCAGAAGACAAACGTTATATATATATATATATATATATACATATATATGTACATATATATGTATATATGTGACACATTTATTTTGCTCCTCTTTGTTCCTTTAAACGTTTTAGTTTTGCTTTTAAATAATCGTTGCAGTAAGTTATCTAATTATTAATTATAGTGTTTGGTTTATAATGGCTTTTTTGACCACACTTTTATAACGGATCACTTTTATAGTCATATAATTTTATTACTGCACTGACTATAATGTTTTGAATAAAAAATGCAATTCCAAAAATGTCTTATGAGGGGAAAGACGTGGTTGACCAGTAGAGATTTTCCAAAAAATTTTTCTGGTAATAACAGTGGCGTTTTAATTTAAATATAAAGGATTGTAAGTCTTATATCTTTCAGGTGAAGATATTTTCCAGCAGTTCATATGTAAAGCGGACGCAAGATGCAAGATTTCTGGCTTCAGCTACGTTATATAAGCTAATAAGCTAACTTTTGCGACTATGGTTTTTGATTGGTAATTCCACAAAAAGCTTTCTCTTAAATCGAAGTCTTACCCTGAAATGCTTGTACCAATTAGGGGGCTCCGCATCACCTTTTTGGTGATTGCAGATGAAAATATTCCATTGACTGGTAATCATTTTGGTGTAGCGGATCCCTCAAATTATCATTTAATGCGCCTTTTGGAGGGTGTGGTTTTGAATGGTTTAGGTCAGTTGGTGTATTAGCTAAAAGAAATAACAGATTGCACCAAATGATATTTTGGATGGGACGGTTATTGACCTGGACCCGTTTGGCTAGCAGGAAATGTCATGACACGATTTATCATGTCTAAAATTGTCGGGGATTTGTGCGAATATTTTATGGCGAGAGTCCGAGGTGTACATTGGGATTTGTCTGGCTTGAAACCATATCAGTTGCATTAAGATACCGAAGCAAAATCCATGGGCCTCAATGATGATGTGAAATATATGACTTCGTGCATTATCCAGTGCAGCCTGCAATAGTTTGAGGGCCACATTGACTTACAACACTGTGTACTACTAGGTCTTTTTTTTTGTGAGAGGTTTAAACAGTTGGATTTTAACCAGTGTTGTGAAAGGCCGTTCTTGAACTGTTCATGGATTGAGTTATTGACTTCTATCCCATTTCTTTTCCTTTGCTATCCAGACTTGCTAGCATGGAAGTGGACCACGTTGTTCTCATGTCATTTATGTCACTGGATATTGTTTTATGTACCCTTCGTCCCAAAGATTCCACTAATGGCGGAAAAAGTGCTCTAAATTTTAACATTAGTGTAGACATTGAAGAACTGTGTGTTGAGTTATTTTGGGTATACTTTGCGTCCTGACACACATATGACACATATCCGTTCTTCCTAATAGTACTGTCGGTTTGAATTTTGTTTATAATCGCTAAAATAAGGCGACATTATCTGGAAATGCGTTACTCGCTTTACAAAGAGTATGCTAGTTGAGAAAAGACTCAAGGAAAAGTTGAGAAAAAGATTACTAGTTGAGAAAAAGATTAGTTTTCAAGTGAAATAAATAAGATAACTAGCATTTCAACTTCTGAAAAAGAAAAAAGGAAGGTAATGGAATTGGAATTTTGGAAACATTGCAGCAATTCACATGAAAAGTAACAGATTGTAATTTGTTGCGGCGATTCAATTGAAGTAAGGCTGCAGCCTTTTTTAGGCCCAGGCGTGCATTCCAATTTCAGCGTCACCGAATTTTGTGCATTGAAGGCAGAGTTTGCTCTGATGCTGATGGACTACTGCTTGGAACCTTTACTTTGTGTCATTAAATCATACCATTTAATTCATTTCCTGTTCAAGCTATAAATTACAGTTCAAATTTAGAAATAGAAGGAAGTCTGATATATTAATGTCAGTTCTGGATTTGCGTAATAAAATTGATTAACATTTTTTGACGAATTTCCAGCTGAGGACCGCTTTTGATTGTCAAATTTTTTCTAAGCGAATTTGAAACAATGGCTGATGAATCGCAAACATCAGGTGGAACTGCTGGTAATAATAATGCTACATCTGGACCAGCACCAGCTTCATCTTCCGAATATATCAAATTGAGGGTTGTGGGACAGGTACAACTTATTTTTGTATGGTACATAATGCACACCCCAGGAATTAATATATTTATAGTCTCACTTTCTGTTGAAGTTTGGTTTTATCATGAGTTTCGATATATCAGCGGTTGTTATGTCAACTCTTGAATTTTCAGAGAAATTGTCTCAACCCTTTTCAATTCAGGACTCGAACGAGGTACATTTTCGTGTGAAATTTGGCACAAGTATGGGAAAGTTGAAAAAATCATATGCAGATCGGATGGGTGTTGATGTTGGTTCACTGCGTTTTTTATTTGATGGACGGCGAATCAATGATGAAGATACTCCTAAGACTTTGGAAATTGAGGAAGATGATATAATTGAAGTAAGTGAATTCCATGTTGATTGGAAAATTTAAATTACTGATCCATACCTTCGTGAAAGAAATAAACAATCTTCACTCTGAGTTCTGTAATGAAGATCTTAAAAAAATTATGGTCCTTATCCGTTCCTAACTAATTACAGTTAGCATTTACGAATAAAACTTGGTTGTGTATTGTTCAGTACAAATTTCATGATGCACTCACAACTTTACCAAAACCCGCAGAACCCATACATCGTATATCGATGTTGTCCATCCTTGCGTTCCCGGTTTACATGAATGCATTCAGGTAGCTCTGCATTAAAATGGTTTCTTTTTCATTTGGAAAGTAGCGAAATATGGACAGATTTTAATTTTGCTTTTTTTAGGTTTACCAAGAGCAAGTTGGCGGTTACGTTCTCCAATAAAAAAATTTCGTAACCTGTTGAGGTATTGGTCTTTTTTTGTGCCCTGATTTTTTTTTTTTTTGAATTCATCATTATTACTGATCTTCATGAAAATTTTTGTGCCGAGGTTGAATTAAGATTTGTTATCTCCAGTGGTTGCGCCAAATTTATGTACCTTTCTTATATTTTTCTCCATTTTTTTGAAACTTTTCGTTTTCAGGTGGCCATTTGTTCTTTGTTCGTTTGTTTATCATTTTTCGCATTTCATATGGGAAGTGACGAAGTAGTCCGTTTCACATTGGAAATATTGGAAGAGACCTTTTCCAAAAAAAAAAAAGCGAAGCCTTCCAAGAATTCCTTTCGTATCAAAATTTGGCTTGCGAAATTGATGAAGCTTTTATATTTTGCTTTGTTACTGTCTGGGTATTTATTTCATTTTTATAGTAAAAATGTTCGTTCATTCGAATTTGTTTTATCTGTTTGTTGCACTAATTTTTGGTCCCCTCTTGTGTTTATGGTGACATAAATTTTGTACATGCTCAAGTTTGGGTGTGTAGGCTGCCATAATCAAATCCAGGTAACAGTTTAAGTGATTGCATAAAGTTTGATTAAATTTCCCTTAATAGTATTATTAAATTGTTTTCCCTTGTAAAATAAAACATTTTGCAAGAGAAAACATTTAATTTTTCACCTTCTTAAAGCTTTTTAATTTGCTTCAATATGCTTCTTCAGTGGTTTTACGCAGGTCGCTCATAATTCTGCATAAATCAGTTTGAACTGGTCTGTAATTCTCAAGCTTCTTTGAAATGTGCACAACATCTGCAACTTCACAGGCATTATAGCAGAATTCCTTTGTCTGTGTTCTTCCTTCCATATTCTGTCAAAAGTTAATTCAAGGGTTGCTAGTACCACACGAATCAGCTATTTCATAACTGTCGCATTATTCAGTGTTTCTGTTAGGTTTAGCATTAAAGCCTTTTATAACTCGGATGTTAAGTTCCTTGGCTGGACCGGAACATATCTCAATGATGTGAGATGTTATTGTCTCCACGCTTTTATTATTAATATCGAAAAACTCTGAAAAGGTGACTGTTTGATTTGAAGTGAATAAATCGTGTGAAAGAAACAATTTCTTCAATTTGCCTCTGCAGTAGACAATTACCAGAGCAGGTTTTCCTATTCACTTTGCAAATAGTAATGTTTTCCTTTCATTGGCTTATAAATAATATACCGAACGCGCATTTTTTAAATAGGAATGCAAGCAATGATAGTGTGTATGTATGAATGAATTGGTAATAAATATTGGGCAATATCAATTATTATACATAGTGTTAAGATGTCAGCTTAACTCGTTTTACATTTCGGCACATCGTGTGTTGCATTTTTATGAAAAGTTTTACTTTTGTGGAGGAAGAGGAAGGTGGATTAGAAGGTGGGATTTGTTCTGGGTAAGGTGAAATGAGGGGGCTACAAAAAGAGCAAAAGTTATCGGCTGAAATGGCGTCGTCGTCGAGGTAGTCCTGACGATACGAATAGTAACTTCGAGAAGCTGAGCAAAAATCTCGTCAAAACGAAAGGCAAACAGTCCGGTTGAATCAATCACGGGGGAAAGTTGATTCTGGTGTTATAGAACTCGTATATGATTTGCGTACAACATGTTACGCAACAAGGCGCTCAATGACATGTTTTGAAATTTCGACATGATTATGAAATTTTTGAAATTTATGAAATGGGAGATTTACTTCGTTCCTCGGTAAAGGATTGTGGGAGTTTATCCATTGGTCGCATTTTCTATCACTTGATAGATAAAAAAGTTACAGAAACGACCTCTATATGTGAAATAAAACAAAAAAACTTGGTGACAACTTTGAAAAATGGAAGGGAAGTGTTTCAAAGTGATGCAGGACTTTTAAACTTTCCAAAAAATTAATGTTTCATAAAAATCTTTAATAGTTTGCTTGAGAATAAGGTAAAAATGTAATGTACAAATTCAGAACAAGCTCGAAATAATATTTCCATTTTCAAAAACTCCTTAATCTTCATATCAAAATAATCATCAAGCATTACGATTGAAAATATACCTCTGATGTTATCATCTACAATCGTACAAACTTCACTAGAAAGTCTTCTGCAACTCAAGCAAAAATTTGGAAAGAAAATTCTCACTCTCACGATCCGACTTAATTCTAAGGGGAGAATTTCTAATTAGCTGATAAGAGTCTGATAAGAGCTGTAATAATGATTGTTGCTACTGCTAGCTTTTTTAAGTGCCATCTCATCAATTAAGGGAAGAAATACTCGGGCAGTAGTGTATAATTTTTGATGTTTAAAATGTTTTTGCTAAAAAGGACCAATAAATTATAACGCAATCATCGATTACTTAAATTTTTATGATAACAAAGCACTGGGTAAGATTTTTGGTGAAGTGTCATTAGGATTGAATCTCTTCTTTTAAAGTTTTTTGTTCATTTCCACAGGAAGTTGATTTAATAGCCTTCTCTTAGGTTGCGCAGGATAGACACATGTACAACGATGACACTATTCACGACTGTCACTTTGATCCACTCGTTTACAAATGCGCCATCTTCCCTCTTACTTTAAGTCACTCCTATCTTCTTTAGTTTGGCTAAGCAAATGGATCTATTTCAGTCATGAAACCATCCCTATGCTCTTCTCTGTCTCATTGATGCAAAACTACCTGCAAAAAAAGGAATGCATCGTATGTACGTGTATGTGTGTGTATATATATGTGTGTGTGTGTACAAGTGTGTGATGCTGTGCTTTGCTGTGTCATGTTTATGTTCTCTTTCGATGTAAATCTTAATCCTTAAGAGAAACGAAACCATTAATTCCAAAATCTTGCCGCGTTCTGAAGCATCTCAAACGAACAATTTCCATCTATTTTTTCTTTTTATCAATAAATTTGAATTTTTTTGTTTGCATTATTCCTGATTTTTGATCAGTTTTTCCAGCTTTGTTATCTGTCAACCCTACAACGTTATACCTTTTGAAATTTCCATACCAATAATTCGGTTTAGCCAAATGATTGTTATTGAAATTTGATCGGTTTAGTATAGATTTAAATTTGGGATGAAATCAGACTTCATTGTGATGTTTGAATGCATTGATAATATATTTTAAAGATGGAAATATTCTGATATAACGGATGTGAAGAGACTGAAAAGAATGAAATGATGGAGTTGGAAGAGCGGAAGAACTTGTTCTTCGTCACACATGTTGGCTCCTATCGAACGAGAAACAAATTCGTTTCATAACGTTTAATGGAGATGAACTTTTTCCGTTTCCTATGGTTTAATGAAAACGACAAGATGAGCTTTGTTAGTAGCTGGAACAAAGAGCGCAAATTATTTCCCAACAGTTTCCTCTTGCTCAGCTATCGTACATCCTCCTTCCATGAATTCCAAAATTCTTCTTTCTCAACGAAGGGATGCAGTCAGTAATGATGTCATGGTCACCTTCTGCATTTCTGGCCAGATACAAAACTTCATCCTGGCGCATATTATTCAAGGATTTCGCTCAGCTTAATCAAATGCAAAATATACAAGTGTTACCATGTATTCCTTTTTCTCAAAAATTAGTAGTAATTTGTCGGCCAGAGCGAATTTTCGGGCCTAGCAGGTATCATTACGCATCATCATTTGCATATGTGCACGCATTATTACTTGATTTACATTTGTTCCACGTTCCAAGTGTTGGTTATTCTATTCACCGTCAGAATACCGCAAAAGATAAAGGAAAACGTTGTTAGAAGGGATGATGCAATATGCTTAAAAAAAGTGCGTAATTGAATGAATAAGATGAAGAAAGGCTTGTCATCCAATTGCGCCAATCATTCATCATGAAGCGATCATTAATAAGAGTTGTAAGGAATGTCTTGGTACATTTTCCTTAATGAAACATTTCCAATCAAATATGTCTTTCGGAGTGTTATCTGCACATCTGTTACCGGGCGGACTTATCGGAGGAAGCTGAAAGTCCAAATGTATAGAAAGATGATGCATTAGTGTCGCTGTTTTCAACATTATATTTTTTATTTTCTCTTGCTTCTCCTTTGTTTCCCTCAGTTTTATTGCCTTTACAAACTGTTTTCAATTCATATGATCCCTCAAATGGTTTTTTTTTGTTTAATATTTGAGGGTAATTACTGTTTATCGACCACAGAAGTCTTTTCGAGATCATTTATTCAGTCATAAAAAATGAAAAAAGGAAAGGAATGAATGAAGTCTTTTGCATTTCCTCTTCGCTGAATCTCCAAATTCATTTTATAATTTATTCATATTAATTGTCTAAGAGGAAGCTAAACAAAAGTATTCGACTGCACATTCAACAGATTTTCCACTAGCACACTTTATAAGTGCTGAAAAAAAGTTACTAACAATAATTGTGTTACAGAAGTTTGAGAGAGAGACTCTACGAATGAGCAAGAGCACCGCAGTTTAAAGTTTTGGTTTTATTAAAAAATCTAAAAATTTGCCATACTCTTTAAGAAACGAAAGTTCCGTGATGTGTAGAAAAGAATTCGATATAGTCGTTAAAGAATATTCGCACAATTTGCGCTTCCTCTGTTTTTTTTTTTTACAATGAAGAAAGGTCGAATTTCAGTAGTTGAAGATATTTTAAAAAAATAAAACCGGTCGTTTGTTGTCTCAGTGACTGTTTTTAAAATAATTCAATGTAACGGTGAAAATATCGGGTATTGTTTGTAAGTTTTTAAATGAGTAATAGTGACAAATTACTTTTCTAAATTAAAGCATTTCATTTGCATGTACATCGCCACCATCCATTTCATCTAGTTCATATGTATGTTGTACTATCAATTCTAACCATTAAATTAATAACTCCAAGGTGAATCACAGTGTCTCTTTTTATCATAATATCATATTAAGTGACAAATATGACATGAAATGTTGGTTTCTACATATGTTAGGTTTTCATGTATTTATTTGTGAAATTGATACAAAAGTATTCATTCACTGAAAGTGAGTCGATGTTTATTCTTAGATGTAATGACTTATACAAGCTGCGACAAAAGGAAGCGGCTGTTTCTGTCGACAGAAGAATATTTGTTAAGTACTCATGATTTGAATTGTCTTTTCAATAAAATTACCTTCCCTTCGTTTTTCTTCCTCCCTCCTCTTCTTATCTCTTCACTTACCTTTTGTTCACATTTACGCTAAAATCAATTACCATATTTTTACAAAAACTGTATAGTTGTGATGTTGTCCTAATCGCAATGCACAACAGCTGGCCGCTTTATTTATCATTTTTTTCTTCCCATCTCATTTATGCAAATGGTGGTACCATTCGCATATTGACTGCTTACTGTATACTTTTGCTTGTCTCTAAATAGGCATAACTAATGGATTACTTTTGTTCGATTGATGCTGATATCATTGGTGAGAAATTTCATAGTTGAGAGATTCTGAATAAGAAATTTCAAAAACAAAATGGAATAGGATAGTCAGGATGTTACAGACTATTAATAAGATGAAGAAGGAAGAACAAAAATAGTGGAAGTACTGCACTTACAAACAAATGGATGTGAAGATATTTAAAGTTTCTATTTTTATAAACTAAAACAACTCTCTAAAAAAAGTTTTGAAATGTAAGAGGGAAATTAGATAGAATGGGCATTTGAGAACATCAATAGACTGCAGGAGCATTAAAAGTGCATTCTCGTTTTTTGTTCATTTCATGTTTTATCAGTTTCGAGAGAGTCTAATTGATCTTGTCAGTGCACTTTCAGTTTCATTTAAAATTCAATGCATTCAGTTTTGCTTCAACTTTAGATCTACTTTGCATCCATCTAATTGTACCTAAATATGAACTCTTTGGAATTACCCTACAGTCATTATACAAAGTCATGTCAGCTTTCCAGGAATAAGTCTTACTTTCCGAAATACTTCGTCGTTTCCTTTTTCAAAATTTCGATAATTTATAGCCTTTCTAGTTGTAACAATATCTTGACCTCAATTATACAGTCTTGGCTTGTCAGGTCACGAAGGTAGTTGGTTCCATTGATAGTCCTATGTTTAAATGCAGTTGGCCTCTTCAACCCCTTACAAGACACAATGACAAATTCATTTTTGTTTAGGACATTTGAAGAATTAATGAGAAATGAAAGGTCGAATTGTTTATAGAAATGAATCATTATTGATATTTTATTTAGGTCCACCCCATTCAGAACACATTTTCTTTCGATGAATCACTCGTTTATCAGCGATAGCTAGTTTGAATCTGACATCTTATTTTATTGATATCTGTCATTTCACTTACAAAATTATTTCTTTTACGTTTATATTAAACGAATTTGTGCAAAAAGTACTCGACAGTGAGCTCATTTCAATTTTCGACGGATTCGATGAGAAGATTAATTCGTCAGCTTCGTGGGTCATCTTGCAAACGATGGAATGAGTGGTCTTTTATCAATGGCATTTCAAGGGTCATCATTATCAATTAACATTCTGCAAACTTGTAATAGTACTCGATCTCCAGAGGTTGCAGTAATCCGAAAAATCACAATTTTCGATGTCTTTACATCCCTGTGAAACAATTTAACTTCTCATTGTGAGTTTCATCTATTCAAAATACTGTTCAGATGATTTGTTATATGAAAGTCAATCAATCAATTAGCGATTTTCAGATCTGAAGTCAGACAACAGTAAATAGCCTAGTAAGTTTCAATAGTCTCCTTTTAGATCTTACTTCAGTTCCCAAAGGTGCTTTCATGACTAATACTTCGGTATTAATGATTAATGTTTCAGTCTTTCATGATTAATACTTCAGTTCATGACTAATACTTCGGTAAAAACTGCAATAACCTGCAAAAATTTCAGCAACCGATTTCGAATAATAACAGTAAGCTTACATCATCTGTCATTGCTTTATTGAAATGAATTCGAAATCAATCCTTCTTCGAGGAGCTTTTTCCGTCCGACAATTTTACTCAAAAATGGAAATAAATAACATTGTACAATTCACGAAATAGTCAATTCTTGGTGGTTATTCCTCAGCACTCGTTAAGTTCACTGTACATTGGGCTCCTCTCCCGTCCCCTGACAAATGAAGGAATAGTTTTTCTTGATCAACAAAAGCAATAATAGTTGTCCTTAAAATGATCCTTTGGAAATGAAAGACAGTCAAATTCGGATTTTTTTCTTTCACATTGGAAAAGATGTGGCGCCAAATGAACTATTTGACGGGAGATTATCTTATCGTCTCGTTTATTTGCTGATTTGTTTGCCTGTCAACATTTCTAGCCGTTGTTTTTTGCGATTGAAATCAGAAAGACTGAAATCAAAGAGCCATCTTTTTACATCAATCAAGCAGTGAATGAATCTTGATCGTTTCGAGAAAATGCTAAGAACTCTTCTGGATAGTCCGTCCTCAAATGATAATCCCCACTACCTATCTGTCAAACTTCTGTAACCTCTCTCACTGTACTTATGATGAGTATTGAATCACTTCTCAGTTAAATAACATTCTTCTGAGAACAGTCCTCTTCTTTGTCTTCTTTCCAAAAGGTACTAAACAGAAAAAAAAGCAAGGTTGAAGTTGGCGTCGATGAAATGAGATTGGAGGAAATGTACGCATTGACTTGCTTATGTCGCCATAGTCGGGGTCTGTACGGTTTCTCATTTTCTCATACCCGCAAAAGTCATTCATTTTATTGGATAGCGCAAATTGTATGATTGAATGATTAAGGGCGGTGATGGTGGGTTGATGGTGTCCTTGACTGGTAGTGAAGGTCCCTACTGCTCCACCCTTCGTTTTGTTATTCAATTTGTCTCCAACCACACTATTTATATTAAATTCGTACCCATCGTTTGCACATCATCGTCCGGTACAGTAATTTTTTCGGTGCAGGCTAAAATGGGGGTGGATAACTGTGGAGTTAACAGGAAGATGTGTGATATGGGTGAGTGACATCCGAGACAGACTTCTTTCCGTTGTAAAAGGTATGCTTCAATAAGCACATTCTGTGATTGCGGCCAGGTGGAGAAAGTCAGGTGAAGAAGCTAAGGAATGAGGATTAGTCGAAAGTCAAGAAAAAGCTGCACTGTGTAATGCTTTATTAGGATGTTTGTATTTTTTTTTTCACAGAGATTCTATCCCTCCAGTGATTGTACATTTCCGCTTTCCTGTTTTTCAACGTAGATCCGAGTTACATAATTCTATATTTTCCTCTCTTTCAAGTAACATGGAGACGTGAATATACTTCATGTCCTTCGCATCTGTGCATAATAGTTTTCATCATTTTGTGAGATATGTATATATATGCGGAGGGAAAGAGAGAGAGAGAGAGAAACAGAAGTCGAGAGAGGAAAGTTGAGTAAGTTGATTTTGTATGCGACTTTGGTTGCATCATTAAGATTTTTATCGGCGGAGAACGGGACAATCCACCTGATCACATTAATAAATTGCGCTTCATTCACCCAGTGATGAATTGTTTGGATTCAACCATATGAATGTTAGTTATGACAGCCCTTTTTGATCATAATTTTTCTTCAACATATTGGTAAAGTTTCATATGTTCATGTGCTGAAAATTTCATGAAAAGCATTTCGTTCTGCTATTTTAGGCTTTGAAAAAATGTTTGGTTAATTTGGTTTCGTTTTTTCTTCGATTCATTCATGGATAAGGCTCATATTTAATTGACCTGAATTTTGAACGTCTCTATGTATACAATATATGCAATAAATGCTCCCTGAGTACTAATAATTTTCTGGTGGTTCCAGATTTTAAATCCTTCATCCTTAAAATTTAGTGGAATTTAGAAATCCCTGTAGAATTTGAAATGAGAGTGAAATTATTCCTCGAACAATGAGTAGTTCATTTCTTCGAACAATAATTCAAAATTTTTTTTTAAAATAGCCATTTCAAAACTCTAGAATGTTTTCCTGGTCATTAATTTACCTGCCGCATTTTATAGTGTGCTTTTCTTCGTTTAGCGTCGATATGAGTCAGTTAATAGGGAACTGAATTAAAATTATTCTGCCAGTTAGCGGTTTATCAAAAATAAAATATAGAAAGAAAAACGAAAGAGTTCTATAATTCGCTGAATAGAATGATTTTTGGATCAAGCACCAATCATTTGACTTAGGTCTGATTGAAAAATCCTGCTATGGAAAGTTGTTGTGTTCAGAAATTAACACGAGTGCAAGCCATAAATGTTATGTGGATAAGTTCTACAAGAGATGAGAACCTAAAGCATTTTAGTGCTTCCATTTTGCATATTTTAAATAATTTTTACCTCTGAACTTTAAATTTCACGTGAAAAAACTTATTTTGAAAGAGGAATGTCTCTGAAATTTCACTTTTCATCATTCAACTGGGAAATTTTCAAAGAGCTAATGTTCACTTTTGCTTGAAGATACACTGGAAAGAAATTTTTGAATACGATAAATGAAGGAAAGGGATATTTTGAATAGTTTTTAGATGGTGAAAGAGTGGAGATGAGTAGATGTAGTACGTTACACTTAATTCGTCCAATTCCCTCCTCTGTCAGTTTTGAAAATTTCCATTTAATGAAAACAAGTATCGAAAAAATCCCGATATAAGAAATCAGTCTAATTTTTGCACATTCAAGAAATTCTGCCCAATTTCATCAGCAATCAACAGGATGAAGGCATCAGTAATATAGTGCCTTAGATTTTTTTTTTATTGCAAATTTGCATATGATTCACAGGACTACAGCGCTTTCAACGAGCATTAGTGCCTTGCAGTCTGTTCCAGAATCAATCCTTTTTTAGTACTGACTTTCCAACGTTTTTCGGTTCTGAAGTGGTTGTGCAGATTCTCAATTGAATCCATCTTAAATGAGAAAAATTTTCGCTTCAGAATTTGTAAATCATAGCGGACAGAAATGAGTGAATATCGTAGCACAATTTCGGCACGACCGGGTTACAACCGTATTAGCTCAACAACCAGCTCAAGCACCTTTGGAGGTCTTCGTAAGTTTTGCAATTTTTATGTCCCAACGTTTGGGAATTTATTAAAGAAAAATGAAGAATGCATAATTTCCGGTTAGATTCAATAACGATTAAGTTGGTGAGAACTTCCAGTCATTGATTTGAATAATCGGTTGAGTTTTTGAGCAGCTACGAGTAGCTTCAACTGGAAATAACACTGATTCAGAAAAGTGAGAATAGCAGTTGCACGAAAAAATTTAGAGCGACAGGTGAGTATTAGTACGAAGATCATAAATTTAAAAAAATTTACGAAAAAAAAAACATCCGATGAAAGGAAAGCAATTGAATGGTGCTTTACAGCAGAGAAATTCGAATTAACCGACATTCTCCACAAGACACGTCAATTTAGAGCAAAATACAGCCTAAGTTGGCAAGATAGATAGGAAATGGATAAAAATAAATTTTACGGAATTCATCGTTTCAACAGAACTATCTGTTCTGATATGCAAAGTCTCCCTCATCAAGTTTAATCATCATTAGATGCTACACTTCCACTGTCAAAATTCAACATGTAAGCGAGGAGATGCACTACAATTTGCAACAGAATGAAGCTTAGGCTAACAAAACGGGAAATGGAGATGGACAGCAGTGGTGACGAGACAGAAGGGATAATAAGGAAGACATTGAGTACAAGAAGGCACAATCCATAAAGGCCAGGATATAGTGAATGAAATTCGTGGGCTATTGTAGAGGAGCTTCTGGTCAACTCTAATCTCTTTCACGTGCACTGTTGCTAACTTGATCTTTGCTTAGCATACTTGTGTCGTAAATGCCATGATGATGTATTATGTATTATGTATTTATCCTTTAACTTTCACCTCTCATCATTAATTTGCATATTTATACCAACAGTTGAACACTTTGCTTATGTACCATCATGCATACACTAAGGAATAACATGGAGTACTTAATGCCTATGTCACATGTGTTACATCATTTAAAATAAAGAAGGGAAAATTTTACTTAAACTGACTTTCCTATGAAGATAGTCTTGCATAAACTGCTTTGTGCTGTAAGCAATCTGAATAACTTTCAACAAAATTACACCGAATGTAGTCGGTTTATAAAAAAAAGAAAAGAAAAAAGCCTGATGTGATCCACGATGGCATGCAAGAAGTTGCCGTTGTTAGTTCAGAAAGTTATTGTATGTTATTACTGTTATCTTAATTTCAAAATTGATTTAAAAGTTTCGTAATTTATTTAGCATCCGGTAATCGAGTAGTAAAAATGGTAACAGAAATGAGTTCCTCTTCACTAACCAGTGGCATGTCACCATTTGGTCAGAATGCTGCATCCACGATTCGTGATGCTCGTGAACGAGAGAAGAAAGAAATGAGTGATTTAAACGATCGTTTGGCTGATTATATCGAAAAGGTTTGGGCATCTGCATATGCTATATATATTTGAGAAAACTTGAACTTGAAAAATCTTGAGAACTAATTTGACGCGAATTCAAACTACATCTATAATACAGGTGCGTTTCTTGGAAGCACAGAACCGTAAACTGAATGCTGATTTGGATATGCTACGCGGACGTTGGGGAAAAGACACGTCAAGTATCAAAATAATGTTCGAAGGGGAACTTTCTGTAATTTTTTTAAATACAAATTTTGTTGTAAAATGTATATTTACCACTTGAGAGATTGTTGTAGGAATAAGATTGAACTATTTAGCTCCTAATTGGCTTAGTAAATGAGTCTTCATAATTGCCAAGACGAATGCATCTTTCAAAGGAACTAAATTAAAAACTAGAGTGTAAAAGTAACATTACTTCGTAAGAATAACAATAATGCAAAAATTTTCGAGTGAGGTACTCGTTATTTACCTTATCACTAAGAAAAAGAATAGCTAAATCAATAAAAAAGACGCAGAAGGGAAACTTGAATGGCATACTGACAAAATGGCATTGGGGTGGAACGAAAAGAGCGAGCAGGGAATTCTTCCGAATTTTGAAAATTTATTTTTGTCGATTTAGCGAATGAAGCAGGAAGTATCGTAGTTCTACACAACCGGATCTGCAATATGATACTGACTGGTATTCAAAACTATTCAAAGCTGATGTCCTTTCTTTAACTTTGTCACTTGAAATTTACATAATCAATAATAAGATAGTAACATGCAATAATAAGATAGTAACATGTGGAGGGCTAAATATTTAGCAGAAAATGACGAAATAAAAAAAAAAATTGTTTCAGTTTACAGCTGCAGTGTTTTGCGAAAGATAATTGTTAAGGTTGCACAAAGCAGCGAGTTATTTCATTGAAATATTTTCCAGAAATGTTTTATCGTTTAGGAAGCTCAGAAAGTGATCAATGACACAGGAAAGCAAAGGAACGAGCTGGAGAAGCAAATTAAAAAGATGCAGGAAGAGCTGGCGGAGTACCGCAGGAAGTATGTCCCTGAAACTCTTTCTACGATTTGTCATTACTATTTCACTCACAAAAAGAAACGACAGATTAACGAGTCATAAGTTGAAGTAATTAATGAAGTGATAAGGTGAAGGACATCGGGGATTGATTTACTTTAATAACTGATAAAGTAGAAAAGAGGAAATAAGTAAAAATGTCTGGTGGAAAGATTTGGGCTAAATGATAACTGATAAGGCTGAATAATGTAAAAAATTACCTTTGTAAAAGTAATAAATAATGTGTATCAAAAATACACCATAAAATGTGTGAAAATTATATCGATGGAAAAAAAGAGTATTAACATCTTTCACCACTTTCGCTTTCCGAACGAGATTTCAAATTCAAATTCAAATACGCTGGAAGACTTGACTTGCTTGTTTTTTGACCATTAGTTACTTTTCGGACTAGTTATAAGTTGTGTTAGATCTGCAAACTGTCTAGAAAAATAACGTACAAACTGCAAAATGACTTTACAGATATTACCTGGCATTTAATTTTCAACTTCTATGGAATAAAGTTTAAAAAAAATTTGAAGATCTTTTATCCAAAAAAGTTGATGTCTCCATATAATCCTTTACCTTTTGCTGGTTTGATGAAGCGACAAAAGCACGTCTGGCTGATCGTGACAAAATTGACGAGCTTCTAGTTGCATTATCAAATATTGAAGCTGAAATCAATCTTTTGCGTCGACGAATTGCTCTGTTGGAGGAAGAAATTTCACGAATAAAAAAAGAAAACCAGCGTCTTGTGGGCGAATTACAGCGTGCACGAACAGTAAGTTGTCCTTTTCATCTCTTGTCGGAAGGAGGGAAAAAGCCATGGAAGAATATATAGAAAGTCGTAAAATTAAGATTCCATTGTACTTAAGACTTGCCGATCAATTTTACTACTCGTTCTGAAACAAACCTTATCTTTTGATAGTAGTCTAGAATTGATGAGAAATACAGAGAGTAAAACATTGTTCATTCATATCCCCTCTGTCTTTACTATCGTTCAGTATCTGATTCGATATCTGTTTTTTTTTCAATATCTGATTCGGGACTTTCTAGAATAGTTCTGATGTGAAGCTCTAAAGTAGATATTGAAACGACCTTCAACATCAAAGTATTCTTATGCAAAACAATTTTCAGGACCTAGATCAAGAAACATTAAATCGCATCGACTATCAGAACCAAGTGCAAACACTTCAGGAAGAGATTGACTTCATTCGCCGCGTGCAAGATCAGGAAATCCGTGATTTACAGGCAATGGCAGCACGTGATACCACTAGTGAAAATCGTGAATTTTTCAAAAATGAGCTGTCATCGGCTATTCGTGACATCCGTAATGAATATGATCAGGTTTGTTATACAAAATAGTAAAGTAGGTCTGAGAGTGGCTTGAAGTTTTTGGGAAAAGGAAACATGTCGTTGAAGATCTAAACTCACTTTTCTTTCTGTAAAACTATCAATTAACAATTTAGCCGATGGGATAGCTAGAATGTACTGTGATGGCTAGTACCGTAAAATACTTCCAGAAGACTATGTATGATCTTATTCGATGTTCTGTCGTGTCACTGTACCACAAAGCGACCTCTTCCATAGTCTTTTAATTTCTGAAGTTACCCGTCCAGTTAATCGCATATTTTACGATAAATTCAGAAAAACTGAATTTTCTTCAACATTAACGAATATAAGAATTAATTCAACGTTTCCTTTTGTAGATGACAAGTGCCAACCGCAACGATATGGAATCGTGGTACAAACTGAAAGTACAAGAAATCCAGACGCAATCGGCGCGTCAAACTATGGAGCAAGGTTATCAACGGGAAGAAGTTAAACGACTCCGTGTACAACTGGGTGATTTACGAGGAAAGTTGGCGGATTTGGAAGGAAGAGTGAGTTCGTAACCTCTAACAAAATTTCCTCTATTTCTAACTAGTTTTGATTAAATGATTTTGGTCTGTTAAATAAATATGGGAAATCTGTTTTAATTGTTTTATTAAAAGCAAAATTTGATTCCTGAGCTCGAAAAGTTATGATATAAATTGAACCTTTAAGTTATCATGATATATCGTTGAACACTGCGGTCAATGATCACGTCGCTGTGTAGGACTGGCTTTTATTTTTCCTTCTAATTTTGTAAATTATATCGATATTTGCAGAATTCATTGTTGGAGAAGCAAATCCAAGAGTTAAATTTCCAACTTGAGGACGACCAACGCTCATATGAAGCGGCGCTTAATGATCGCGATGCGCAAATTCGTAAGATGCGTGAAGAATGTCAAGCGTTGATGGTTGAATTGCAAATGTTATTGGATACCAAACAGGTAGGCAATTTATGGTAAGTTATAGGAGAAGTTGAGAGTTAAGAGTGTTCGAGGTGCATTCGCTTATGCTAAGGTATAGTGAGGTAGATATAGTCGTCGATAGGGCAGTTTGAATTTTTTCTTTCATTTAAAATAACAGTCCAACTTCCAGAATTAAATTATGATTTGTTGTAGACTTTGGACGCCGAGATAGCAATTTATAGAAAGATGTTGGAAGGCGAAGGTGATGGACCAGGCCTAAAACAACTGGTTGAACAGGTGGTTCGCACTACAGGCATCAGCGAAGTCGCTGATACTGGTATTTTCACGTCCATTAAAAAAAAGATCAAATAAATTAATTAGTGGTAACTGATCTTTGAAGCGGTCCTTCGTTTATGTTTATAGATAAGAATGATAATGAGGAGTAAAGGCTATTTTTCCATTTACTGAATCAATGACAGCGAAACATCGTTGTTGGATCAAATTCTGAGTAACGATTGGAAATTGCAAGCCAGAGACTTGCTTGGTCAAAATACTGTTGTCGGTTACCAAGACTGTTCTGCCGTCCACCCAGATTTCTAAAGAATTGCTTTGAATCGGAGATAATTTCCTTCATTTTTTATACAGAAACAATGCGTGTGGTAAAGGGTGAAACATCTTCCCGTACATCATACACTCGCTCAGCGAAAGGCAATATTTCCATCCAGGAAACATCACCAGATGGTAAATTCATCGTCCTTGAGAATACACATCGTTCCAAAGAAGAACCAATCGGTGAATGGAAGCTGAAGAGAAAGATTGATGGAAAACGTGAAATTGTTTATACACTCCCGAGAGACTTTATACTAAAACCGAGTAAAACCGTCAAAGTAAGACTTCTCGACAGCTTGACCTTATTTTATTGTTTATAAGTTAGGCCTTCAGCCTCTTACTTTTGGTAATTTGCACTGACTGGTTAGAAAACATCGTTCTAAACGATATCTCATAATAATTTTTTTGGGCGAAAATCTGTCTAAATTCAAACACATTTCATTTTAGATTTGGAGCCATGGACAGGGCGGAGTTCACGCACCACCCGAGCAGCTTATCTTCGAGGCCGAAGAGTCATTCGGGGTGGGAAGTAATGTGCAAACAATCCTTTATAATAAGGAGGGCGAGGTTCATCCTTTCAACATTACTTCATTTTTAACTCTCACCTTTGTCTTTTTGGATCAGTTGGCTAATTTATCGTATTGGCTTACTTTTCAGGAACGGGCAACTCATATTCAACGCTCGAGCCAAACAGTAAGCTAAGAAACACTGCTCTTCTCTTCCATTACCCACTGTTTCTCCTTCCCCTCTGTCTCTTCCTTCCCTCATCATCCCTTATACTGTATCTGTTTGTCGTCTACTTTTGTTATATTTCAATCGTCAATAAAGATTATTTGTTGAACATATAGTGAATATTATTACATATCATGAAGTGATGATAAGGACCCTCTAAGGACTGATATTCCCAGAAGTGCCTTATTGGTTCGAGATTAAAGCCAATCTCCTGTAAATAAGTGATAGTTCCGAAAGGTGATTTATCCTTCGAACACCTAACAGATAACCTAATAGATGCCGATCTATTAACTTGATAAATAATCTAATAGATCTATTAGGACCATCTAATAGATACCGACAATTCATATGACCTACCAAATGAGATTTAAGCTAAGCAACATTCCCCAACCATTGAAACATGGATGATGCATGGGAGACAACTTCATAACAGGTTCAAACTCAACGTGCGAACATAGAGAATTCCTTGAATAAATCATGTTTTTCTTCCGATACGAACCTGTGAGTATGGGAGTCGGGAATTTTTGTCGGATGATTGTTGCATTCAATGGGGACCCAGGAAGAATACTGCCACGAAATCGCGCTTGGTAATGGCAGTTATGGGGTTCTGCGTCGCGGAGAACAGCTCTTGCAGTAGTAAGGATGTTCGAAGTACATCTAAAATGGACCAAATGGAGTATCTGCGACATATTTTGAACAAGCACCTCATCGACTCAGATTGGGGAATGGGTCAAAGAGGACGATGAACTTTAGGTGACCGATACTGAAAAACAGCATTCTCTTGATTGAATTTTGCAGATTTTTGCTGAATGGTTACGAAGAATGACGGGTTACACATGGAGGATTGAATGTAACTTATCACTAATTATCTATGGGACTTTACTGACATAAAATGGATTGTCGCGTAATATCAACGACAACGAAACATTCCATTTGTCGACGAAATTAGATATAATTCAGACAGGCATTAACAACAGTGTCATTTCAGGACTTTTTCGATTTTCTTCATTTCGTTAGTAATACTTGTAGAATTACACTGAAAGCTGCGTTTCCTACCGTTTCAGGTGGACGATGGCCAAAGTTATCAGAAGTAAGTTGAGGCAATTTTAGCGTATAAGCTTGAAATAGTTACTTGCCGGCTCTGCCAACATCGCAGTGCGTGCTAGAAATGGAATTTCCATACAATTGGATCTCTTGTGTTGAGAAATCTGTATTGATCATTTTATTTAACGGCCTTTTTTAAGTTGCATAAATCTGCTGATTCACATTGTTCTCATTTGTGGATACGGAATTCAAACAGATTCATTTAAATCCTGAATTCTGATTTGGATTACATCTTCTTTTTTGTCATCCCTTCATTAGTAGTAGTTAAACAGAAGTTCATCCCTTCTTTTATGCGGTATTTTTTTCGTTCTTTATTCTTGTTCAGTGGACAAAGTACTAACTTTTTTGGGACTTTTTTGTGAAAACTATCATAAGAATGTGCTTAAATTTCTTTGTAACTCTTGTAGATCAGTGGGTGTACAAAAAAACTGGACATTGGTATCGGTATCTTCCGCGCAGAAATGATATCTCCAAAGAATTCGATTATGAAAAGTTTATGGCTGGGCCAGAGCATTTTCCTGAAAAGGTTTTTTTTGCTTTAATAAAGTCGTGTGTAAAAGGGAATTTCATGTTAATTCAAAATTTTGCATTCAAATCTGAAGAAAGTTTCTTAAAAAAGAATTTAGGAAGTCTGGAAAAGATGCTTACCGTAGTCGATTTTTTATAAATTACCCTTAAAAGTTACTGTTATTCCTTGTTCTGTTTTTTGAATATATCGCAGTATGGAATAATTGAAAACATAATTTATATAATTGGAATGAGTAAATTTGGAAAAAGACTAACTAGACTCTTTCAGATGGAAAGCAAACCACCAAAACTTTGGTTGGTGTGGATCTATAGAAATTATTCGACAGATCCGACGTGTACCAAAAAAAAATCGAAAAATTATTTGGTAAGGACGCCGAAGTAAGTGATTGTTGATCAACTTTTGTGAAAGAAATTAATTTTCTTTGGATACAAAGAGAATTAGTTTAATCCCCAACTTCCTAACGTGACTCTTGGGAGTAGTCATTTGACATTATTTTTTCTCATAATCATTTCTTGTGTAGCAGGACAGGATTCCTATGTCTTTAGGGCTTCAATTTGTTAGTGCTGTTTTCAACGTGAGATGACGTGAGCTTAGCAAGTAGAATTATATACTTTCGCACTACGATTAATGGCTTACTAGTTGTTTGGTGGAAATTTCACTCTCCTGAATATTAGCATCGTATAATAACTCGAATGAAATTAATGTGTAGATAAGCACTTTTTTTTTTCTTTTCAGAAGAATCAAATGAAAGGTTCCATTTTAACAATCAATTTGGAAATGATTCTTTCAATACATGCTCCCAGATTTTTTTCAGCCTGGCAAAATGTTTATTTTTAAGAATACTGCTTCACAGAATATAGAATTGTGGCTTTTGAAACATATCATTGAAGTACGTGCACTCTCTTTTCCGAATGGTGAACCAACAGTTGATGATGTGAACGCCTTGGAAGTAAGTATGAAAATAGCATCGTTATCAACTTTAAGATAACGATTTAACCAAGGAAGTCATGCATTAATGGTGTCTACTGAGAAGCAATATTTATTTGTGCGTAGTTCCGCAGACTAGCTTCTTTCATGATAGACTTCATAGTAATAAGAGATGAGGCTTTGTATCGAGAAAAATGTCAGAATTTCTTTTCAAATTTAGTTTCGGATGTGTGACTAGATTGTTAGATATCTCTTTCAAATAATTTTGCCAGGTTTATCCAGATGGAAGATGCGTAGTCGATAAGCGTTTAGCTTACGAACCGTCTCAGTTTAATGTGATGGACCCACACAAACAAGTATTTTTTTTCTTTTTATTTAATTTATTCCTTTATTATCCGATTTACAATAAAATTTTTACATTTCACTGTTAGAATCTCCAGTCATCCTGTTGGAACTGTTGACTTTTTACTACGATGATGATTTCAGATGAGAGATAAATAATATTCTGCTAACTACGATGTGTTAGGTTTACGTTCTTTCTTTTTCATTAATTCCTAAATCGTTTGGATTATTGCTGTATTCCCTTGTCTTTATCTTATTACTGCGATGCAGTTATAATCACACCAAAGGCATCATGTATCATTTTTATTTATTACGAGAATAAAGATAATAACTTCTGCTTTATTTAGATGAGTAACAGTTATCTGTGTTCACGACTGAGAAGTCGGCACAACAAATGTCAAGATATATTTGAAACAAATGTTTATACGATCAAGAATGTCACATTAGTCGAATAATTGTATGTTTTATTTATGTTCACTCATTTCCCATACTTTTTTTTGAGTCGTTCAAGTTTGTTTAAATCTTTGCTCTATTTTGCTTGAATTTTAACATTAAATGTTGGGGAAATTAAAGCACAAAAATAGCTTCATTCAGATTTAATGCTGTTTGCCATTGGGATAAACACATTGCTTAAGCAGTGGTATACGATGTGGGCCATACGTGCATATATAGTATAGTATGTTGGTCTGATGGCAGGTCCGAATAGGTTCGAGTTTTTGTCACATGTCTAAGTTACTTACGGACTGCAAGAAATGGTGGAAGTTATTGAAATGATATGGTTTCGATTCTTCACATGCACACAACTTAAAATTTTTTCTACACAAAGTTATAAATCTGCAGCAAGCACGTAGGAATTTTAATTCTTGAGTAGATTTATGAAGATCAAAACCAACTTATTCGGATTTGAACTGAATGGGCAATCAGTTCCTCCCCTGCATATAAAATCTATTCTGAGTTGCCTTGAGGAATATCAATGCCATAGTGAGATCAGTATCGAATTACTTTGCATCAATGGTTACCGTTTGGGACTTGTTCTTTTCTCAGGTAAAAGATCTGTAGCAGATTTTTCACATTTCCAGGAAATATGCCGTGTAGATTCTTTTCCTCGATTGCTCAGTTGCAAAATTAAACATCTAAGAAACTTCCACAGACATAACTCCGTCTATGAATAGATTTTATCTGGAATGGGGCGCAATTGTTATTTCAACGAAACCATGAAACGATGAAGTTTCATAGAGGGCTACGGAGGTTTGTTGCATGTGGATCTCGTGTCACTCGGTGAGACTATGTTAGGTTGGCAAAAAGTTCTAATTAATGACTCAGGTTCCAGTGAGCACGAACTAGTCATTCGTCAAAACGAAAGAGAAGATACCATGTCGCTGTACACACTGGATAAAACAGTAACAATCATCGAAAATATCTTCTACTTTATGGAGGAGTCAATTCAGAAAAAAAAAACGGGAATACTTGAAAAAAAATCTCGGAACAGTATATCCTTAGGTTACTCTCGAGAGGGGGAAAGGTAGTGAAGTTCGATCCGCTTGAAGATGGAGGAGTTTTGCAACCGAAACACTAACATACTTGCTATACATTCTCTTACTGGCAACCAATCCTTTCCATTACCCATCCGCACGGTCTCCCAGAATGAAAGGTAGGGGAAGTATTTCACTCTTTACTTACTTTTCCCCCAGGCAACTTCAATTCCGTTCGTACAATTACTGGAAATCACACGTCAAGAAAACAAAAATAAACGTGAGGGCTGCTGCACGTAATTACTGTCTAACAGCGTTTGTCGCCTGCCAGTAGTTCTTTTCGGAATGTGGCTCGATAATCGTTGGTTCGTCTGTGGCTATGTCGGCTCTGCAGTGCGAACTTGATGGTGGTGTTGTGCGACGGAATACAATTAACTACAATAAATTGTTGTTCAAACGCTGACATATTTTATTTGAGGGGTCTATTCCCCAAAGGATTCGGTTCTTGCTGCCTTTCCGGTTCTTCTCGCGTGTGCTGTAAAATGCAGTAATTTTAAGATTGATTTGCAGGATAAATCAACTTGGTGGTTATGTGTAGGACCGAAAGCAATAAAATGGTGATGTGATTTTGCTAACGCGCTGGATTTTCTGAATGGATGCACATGAAGACAGTTCGTATCATCGAAACGGTTTGGCTTACTACTCACAAAGTATTTTGATAGTTTTGAAAATTCAGTTAGGATTGAGTCCAAAATACATAATTCCAAATTTCCTATTAGTGTGCGCCTGAATGGATCAGTAAATGAAATGGATAAAACAAATGTGACCCAAATCAATGCGTATGCTTGCCTAAGCAACTCTGTGCACTGAATTTCATGGGTTGCATAGAATTGTTTCGAATTTGGGATTAAAAAACAGACTTTATGAATGTGTTCAAGCACTGAATGCGGTGGACATAGAATTTTAGGCAGTTTTGAAAAATGAAGCGAAAAATGTACAGAAATAATTTGAAATAGGATAATGTAAGGTAAAAGTCTGATAATAAGATGAAAGATCCGGTAGAGGAAAGAGGAAACCTCTGATGAAGCTATGATAATTAAGTGTTTAAATAAAAAGTGAAATCGGAGACACATTAGAGAAGGACAAAACTCAAATTGCCAAAATTATCCATTCATCATAGTATATGTCGAGTTAACGAGGCGCTGCAGCTCACTGAAGAATAGAGATAAATAAATAAATGCTTTAGAAGTTAACATGAAAAATTGTCATTATTGGTTACACATTAACTGGTTGGATACAGAGCGTTTTGGAACAGGCCAGTAGTGGCAGCATCAAAAATTTCATATCATACTCAGTTGTCAATGATTGAAATCATATAACCTTAAGAAGCATAATTCCCTATGGCGTGTTGAACAGTGATTAGAATTTTGCGTATTTCAACTATTTCAGTTATGAAGTAACCATTTCTGAGGTACCAGAAATTTCCGTTAGTTTCAGGAGGTAAAATGTCAACGGGAGGATCAGTTCTACCGCGTCCATCATCGGAAGCAGCACACCATATTCATCACAAAATCGCCTGGAAAGCTATTAACATCGATGCAAAACATGTAATTTTTCGGTGCGACGGCGTCTGTAAAGATGACCCAAAGGTTTATATCAGTTTTTATCATTGTAATTGGACAGTGGTATAGTTTAGTAAAAGTTTAGTAATTTGACCGCATATTCATGCAAATACTGATATAGCAAAGAATCGGTCAAACGAAAAATTGTCTTCAGTTGCTTCTGTCAACAAATTTATAGAATTTCTAAAATGCATTTATATAATTTTTCTACTTTCAACTTTGTTCTATTGTTGTCATGAGACCAGAGAGGAAAATTTACTTCTGAATAGAGCATTGATTAATCTCCCTTCTGGGTTCGAGAAAAATCAAATCATTTGTTTAATAAAACTGCAAAAATTAAAAAGAACTAGGATGTTATTGTTGGTCTTTTTTAATTGTTGGAATGGAAGTTAAATATATTCGTTAATTTTATTAATAAGGCAGAGGGAAAGAAATGCTGCAATGAGTACATGTCATGATATTGCGGTCATGGTGATAAGAATGATATAGAGTGAGTTTTATTTGCTCATTTTAATATTTGATAATGGAATTTCTCATAGCGAAATGAATAATTTTAGTATAATGCACATACCTTGGGTGATCCGAGAAATCCACTAACAAGATTTCGTAGTGTGGAATCGATTGACCTTTCATTGCCTTCTTTTATTGTAAGTTCGTTTTTTGGAGATTTTATTCGGACCTATTTCGGATTTCATTTTTTTTTTTTTGTTTAGTCTTTTTTCATTCTGTTATGGTTTTACAAAACTTGTTTTCCCCAATCTCCTACACTTACTAATTCTGCGGAATGTTGCGATTTTTCCAACATAATTTACTTTAGTAGAGCGAAAATAATTAGATAGGCTTCCATGTTTTGGCAGTCTTCATGAAATCCTATTGCAGTTGGACAATAATTCGGTTGGACCACAACCAAAACGTGAAGTTTCTATATTTGGTTTAAATGATAACATAAACCATGCATTTCTGACTGATATGTGCCAGTAGGTTTTCACAGATTTTTTTAAAAGAAATTTGTTTTTGGGATAAAATATTTAAAATTTACGAGGAAAATGAATTAACATTAGTGTTTTACATCTTTATAAATAAAGATGCGAAGCCCATTTCATATTTGTGATATTCAAACATTTTCAGGAAGACAGGTCAAGTTATTGAAGTGTTCGTATATATGCATCCTCGAACAAAAAAACATTTGGGTATGGCATACGTCGTCTTCCAGGAAGGCGGCAAAGCAAAATCATTTGTTGCAAAAAATAACGGTACTTCAGTTATGGGACAAACAATTACATGTATTATTGATCCATATGGTATGTTTCTTTTTTTTTGCTTTATGGAAGACTGCTAATAATAATTTTCTTTCTTTTTTTCCTTTTTTTTTTTTTTTCAAACATACACAATGACATAGTGGAATTGAAAGGAGTTAATTAATTGCTTATCATCATTGCATTTCATATTATACCTGGTTTAACTGGAATAATGCAAAAGTTACAAATAAAATATTTTGTTTTTGAGCGAAAGAAATTAGTCGACGGTATGAGGAGCAAGCAGTGGAAGCAGCACCAATACCCCATTACTTATCACGCCTGGATCATAACAGACTAACTGAGTTTCGAGTGGTCAGCTCTGCAAGTACATCTGAATATGTAAGTTTACAGTATCTTTTTGAAATAATTATCTTTGCATTGTAGACTGGAATTAACTGTATGCAAAATAGTTTTGTAGATGGGAGAAATAATGGACTCGGTTTATTACAGGAATTTATCGGACAGTCCTGTTGTTAGTACGGTGCATCGGGTAGTAGTGGAATCTCCGTACTCACGACACTAATCATAAGACCGTTCCATGCAGTTTGCTTCACGAATGTGATACATTTAGTTAATTTACTAGCAACACAAAGCACGCATAAGTCCATAGAATGAATAAATTCCAGAAAAGAATTCCCACAAGTTCATCGCCTTCTACCAGTGCTCAACAGTCCAGTGATATCAAAGCATCAGAACTAGTCCAGAAAAAACCTGACGAATTTGAAGCTGCGTTTTTTCATGATGATGATCGACAGATACATCAGCAGTCGGTTGAATCTGCGTTGACGAGAAGTATCCAACTTTCAGGAAGTTGTAGTATATGGGGATTAGTTTGCATTGCAGCTGCTGTGGACAGTCAGAATACATACTTACAATTCTGGAAGACTGGATATAAATAACAAGGGTCTCTAGAGCAGTTCTACATTTATTTGGTTTTGTTTCCTTTCAAGTGACAAAGCAGACGAGAAATTGAAGACAGATAGATGATCAAGCGAAAAATTAGCAGGAAAGTGTAGCTGGTGGATATTTCTATCCAGTGATTTTTGTCAACTTAGCCAACTGCATATCATTTGATTAAAACAGTGCCTCATTATTTATGTGGTAAAAAGTATTTTAAATCATATATTCAGGTTTTTTGAAAAAAAATAGGCTTATAAAATGAATCTGTATTGCAGTAACACACATCGAAAATATAGTACCGGCTAATGAACGTTCGACAGTCCCGTCAATAACTGGACATTTTGCACAATTGACAAGATCTCCTTCCATTTCAAGTTCCTCTTGTTCACCGTTAACAACAGTGCAAGCTTTACATCAGACATTCTGTTCCCATCATTTTATGTTTCGTCAGCAGACCCAGGCACCATTTACGTATTACCATTCGATACCACCCAATCCCGTATCCCCTGTTTCGAATTTTCCATCAATTTCACCTTCCGCCAACGTTTTTTCACCATTGCCACCTCTTCCACCAATAGCCGGGCGAATTCCGTTTCCTGCATGGTCTAATGTACCACCACCGCCGCTGAGAACTCCAGGTTACTTTGAAATTTTGATAATTTTGAACTTATAAAAGCTTATAAACTCTCTGTGCTTGTCAAACTTCCCTTTCTTCAATCCTTACCTTCAATCTTCAATTCTCATGTTGTACTTTGCTAGGTGTGGAGTAATTGCAAGAGCGGCTTGTGAGCATTTCAATTTCTTCGCAATAAATTTAAATGTGCTCTAAGAGAAGTATTAAAAGTCTAGGATTTTAAATAATTTATTTGTTTTAGTAATGTTTTCAGCAGCTGATACTTGGCCGATGACAAAAACAATTATATCGACGCCAGTACAACTTCAGGTTTCTTCTATGAGAAATCCGGCACCACCAACGAATTTTGCATCAACTGCATATCAGGCTGTACCAAGTACTTCATCTTGCGAGGAAGTTGCACCAATGGATCCAGCACCCTCAAAAGTTTCTTTTTTCAAATCATTTATTATCGTTGTCCTTTGGTTCCTGATACCTTCATTTTGATTTTAATACATCTGTTGTTCATGGAATCATTGTCTTTTGGATAGAGACGAAGAGGAAGACATTGTAATGGAGTATTATCCATCACTCTCTCAACAATTTCCACTGATTTTTGGAGGAAGCTAAGATTTATATCAACTTTTCGCCAAAATTATTCGGTGCCCATGACATATATTTCTTCATCAATACGATCATTTGAGAACATTAAGAACATTGTCCGAATTCTAATGGCAGGTGAAAAGGTCATGGCATGAAAAATAGTAATTTTAAACTCGAGTTTGGATGGCTTGAATGATTTTTGAATTTTTGTATCAGGAAAGCGATGAAAAAACCTGAAAATAACTATTCCGAGTGTACAGAGGGGAAAACGAAGTGTTCCAGGTTAATTTAAAGATTTTTGCGTTAAACTTGTTTGTTGTTTTTCAGTAAATGTAATTTACTATATTGAGAATTCATTTTTCGAATAAATTCTGGAGGGTTGAACTTGTTTTTGTTTTCCTTAAGGAAGTTCTGTAACAAGTAATTCTGAAGAAATTTAAAAAATCTGATATAAGGATAAATTTTTTGCATTTTTAAATAGGAAAAAGAAAATACCACTTGAAAAATTAGAAGAAATGAACATTATTGGTTTCTTATTGAACATAAACTTTCTAAACGACATTTCTTTTCCTTCAGCGAGTGGTAAAATAAAAGTAAGGAAAAGAAGGCGGCTCCGTGAGTCGATTTCGGTTTCTTCTGTCTCTGGAAATAGTAGTTCAAAGAGTGACGATAGTGAATTAAGCGAGGAAAGCTTTCAAGATAGCTGCAATACTGTTAAAAGAAAACATCGACATCGGAAAAAGGGAATTGTAGAAGTAAGTGGTATATTCGATATGATGACGTCACATCGAAATCTGTTGTTTCGTTAACTTTACTGTGGGTTTTTTTGCGATTTTCTATCTCAGCGGTTATTCCATTTGTTCTTGGAACTAATTGAGTCTCTATTAAAGAAGAATAAAATATAAGTAGTATGCTTGTTTACATTGCTTCCCTTCTTTAAACCTTCAAAAAACACCTCTTTAAAAAATAAGCGTGAAAGCAAAATCTCGTCGTTTGCTTGATGTTAACTGAGTAAGTATTAGCATCGGCATAATGTTGTTTCTTGTAACCCAAGGTAGGAAGAGAAAATTGAAATCATGATAAATAATTAAGTGATAGTTAAAGAAAACAACTTTTTTCATGGAAATCATGATTACTTATATCACACAATTGTAAGGAATTGTAATATTATTTTTCTAAATTATTCCGTTTTTCTGTAGTGCATACGAAAAAAGAGATGAATAAGAGAATCGGGAATACAGTTAGCTTTTAATTTTCCATGCCATCCGATTTTTTTCTTCAAAATTTTTCTAATTACGACTCTCCTAATGTGTAATCCGTCCGATTTTTCGACATACTGTTTCCTAATATTTTAAATTCGAAACGAAATTGGAAATTTTTCAGGAACGCAAATATTATAAGAGGAAAGGAGCGGGTGGAACTAGTGATTACTACAAGGTACTGGAAATCTATTTCAGTCTTGTCAAATTAAAATGATGAATTTTTTTGTAAAGATTCAACTGTTAAGCGTAGTTCTGCACAAAATAATTTGAAGACTTCCTCAGATGGGTGAAATATGTTACGTATTGTATTCTAATATGTAAGAGTTTGCAGTTCAAAATGCTTTTGTACTTAGAGCTTTTAATGGAATTTGAAGAGATGAAAATTGACGAGTAATATCTCCTTTATATTTCTTATTTATAAAAATTCTTTTTTGTGTTCATTCTGGTTTATTCCTGCGTCGTTTTAAAAAAGGAAATACAATAGATTAAGCCTTACTTGGTGTTTTTCCTTGTACATTTATACAAGTAACCATAGTGTTACGAATCACATCGAGTAAATTCTGACATTTAAATTATGCTTTATTTTCTAAACGGGTTCCATTTCTTATATTCTTTTTAGGAAATTATAATTCGGAAGAACGATAATAAAAGAAAATGTTCACATGAAACTAAGTCAAATATACTTCAATCACCAGAGCTTGTAGAAGAAGTGGAAAGTTATCAACGCATACGAAAATATAAAAAACGACAAGAAACTGCTGAGCGGGATGAGCATTTCGTGGAGCCGGATGTTGATTTACCAGATCTGGAAAGTGTGAGCAGTGATGAAGATCAACTTAGTACGGAACAACAAGAGCTAAAAGTACAGTCAGCAGTGAGTTGTTGCAGTTTTAATACTTCAAATTGTTGCCCCATTAGTAAAATTATAGGTGATTAGTTTATATTGAGTTTAAAATGTTATATCTGCAAATTAGTTTATATCGAGTTTTATGCTCGATGTATTTGTAAATTTGTTGATTTCACGATGCTCAAAACATTTGTTGTGGGTAAATTCGTATTCTTATTGGTAACATTACAATTCGTTGGTTTTTTAAAACTTCAATATTTTCAGCAGTTCCAACCAAATAAAAGTAAAAATCATAGGGAGATCACGAAGCATATTCACCAACAACAATCCAAACATGTGGATTGGCGGAAGAAGCGAGTGATGGAAAAAAGACGTAGGCAGCGGTATGTCTTGATATTGGAATCTGAAAAATAAAAAATTTCCGAGAAAAGTTTTATACTTTATATATTTGAGATAGAATAAAAATTTCGGTTTCAATGCGTTTAAAAGAGAGTTATGAAGATTGAAATGGGAGTGGTAAATTCTTGTCAAAATTATTCTTTGCTACAGAATGAGGTTTTTTTTATTGTAGTGACCATAGAAGTTGTGGAGGTCGAGAAAGTTCTAGCTTAAGTGGAGATGAAAAAGGCCACAGGTGGTCTTCATCCTCCTCAACTACCGAATCAGAAACAGAATCTGATGAATTGAACTCTTTCAGAAATTGTAAATGGTTTGTTTTAGAAATAAAGTTCGCGTAGGAGTTTTATGACCTTCAGTGCAATTTATTTTATTTGAAATTCAATTAAGAATCCAAATGTGTCAGATTAAAAGATTTGTAGGTGATAATTTCCAGAAATTTTTATTTTTGAATTTTTAAAGAAATTGAACGTAAAAATAGTAAAGCTTTCCTGTCACATGAAATCATCGGTCCTTCTGGAAAAGTCGGGAGCAAAAATTTACTGTTATTAATGTGTGCGATGGTTTGCCTGACTCGGATTTCACAGTTATAAGCATGAATTGCCGCGAAATCATTTGTTGGGCCGGCAAATTATTTAAAAAAGTGACTAATTTTTCTTTGAAATTCGTGATAACTGCTGTTTCCTTTTTAGGACATGTAGGCCTCCTTCAAACCTTCACTCATCAAAAAGTTCACGGATGGTAAATCTCTTGGTTTGTTCTTGTTTACTGTCACATGATCATTATTACTCCATTATTACTTTCGGTAAAAAAAAAAACTGAACTCGGTTTTTATGCAAATTGTTAACCTAATCAGTTGTGAATTAGAAAATGAACATTTGAGATTAAAACTTATGCCATATGCCATATAATTATGTCAAACTACCATTTTTTCAGCGCGATACTTTTCAAATATTTATTGATAGCTTCAATAAATTATCATTCAAATTATTTAGGATATGTTTGAAGCGGTAACTTCAAGTAGCGAACAATCGCATGGCGAAGAAACTGGAACAAGTGGTGTAGCACCTCAGCCAAAATCATCGCATGTGAAAAATAGTTTAATAAGTTAGTCTATTGTAGTGCTCCTCATGACTGAACAATTTTTAAAGGTAGACGTGACTGTTATCAGAATCTTGGTAAATTGGATTTTGATACTATGTGGAGCAGATTTTTTTTGATGAAATCGTGATAATACCATCGTGCAACATCAAAAAGATTTTTAGAGAATGAGTCGACTCAGTCACTACCAACTCCTAGTTTCATAACTTCACCCGAGAAGCTTTCGAGTGATTCTCCACTTCCATGCGTTATGCAATGTACTCCTCCAACAGAAAGCTCACGATCATCATTCGAAAGACGGCTCGAAAATCTATTTCGATCCAGCTCAGTGCAACCTCCGATAAGTTTTTAAGGCTTATTTTATTTCTGTTTTTTGAACATAACACAACAGCATATTTAAGAAATTCGAGTTAACTATAACTTTTGCATTTGCTTAATGCCCTTGAAATGTTTCAATTAAAATAGAAGGGAGCAAACGAAAGATAGAAGACTGAAAATAAGAAAAAGTAGCATTTTTTTAGGAGATTTATGAAAGATGGTGACGTCAGAAGTGGAGATGAGTATTTTTCATTAAAATTTCAAATCGAATTACTCAATTAAAGTCAAAGTTTTGGATTTTTCGGTTTGCATTGTATGCAAAAGTTCCGTTTTTCTTAGATTGTAATGGTGAGGGGACGAAAGAAAGATGATAATCCGTTTTCCTTTTGCTGCATATAAAAAAAAGAAATGTTATCCACTGTGACTATATCTTTTTTATGCAATGTTTGTGTAGTTGTCATTTTTGGTTTTTCAGATTATAGAAACATATGAAGAAAAGCGGTCAAACGATGGAAGTTGTACTTCAGTTCCAACTATTTCAGGTGAATATATAGTAATTCTTTACCTTTCCATTAATTTCGTAAGGAAGGATATAATCTTAAATTGTTGAGCTTTCGTTTCGTTAATTTATCATGATTGCACGATGAATTCGGTTCATTTCAAGATTGAATTAATCTCTTAAATTTCCAAAGAAAAATCCTTGAAAATTTAAAATAAAAAATAAGCAGAATCAAGGGGAGATGCTGACGATTTTATGAGTGATTGAAGAGTATTCCAAGGCTGTTGGTCATTTGTCAAGTACGTCCAGTATATATATTAAAAAAATACGAAGTGCATTGTTCCTCGAAGTAGGCCTTACGGTGCAAGTCGATACATTCGGCTTATCTTCAGTTAAATAAACTTGAGGAGTCCTATATAATGTAATGTCATGTCTCCATAGTTAATATTATGTTATATGCGTAAACTTTGAAATTATATATAATTTTATTTATATATATATGCTTATTTATTTGTTTATTTAGTTGAATTAATTGATTTATTTGTTTATTTATTTATTTATTCATTCATTTACTCATTAATTTATTTATTCACTCATTCATTCATTCATTTACTTATTTATTCATCTATTTGTTTAGTAAATTGATAAATTAGTTAATCTATTTATCCAACTATTCGTTTGTTTTTTATTTGTTATTTTTCCATTTATTCATTTATTATTTATTTGATAGCTGATATATGCATATGCACATGCCCTTATTCGTTTCTTTTCTTTTTTTGTTTGATTCATGAAGTATTAACTGTTTTTCAGCCTTCGATACGCCTTTTTTGCCGTCAAGTACTGCACGTAATGCTGTGGAGCCGAAGGGAATGCCTCTGTCTGAAGCTTTTCTTATCGAGCATAGTAGTGGGACGGTTACTGTTGTCAAACAACCATCTGATTTGAATTCCGCGTAAGTTCTGAATGAAATTTCGAAGAAAATCACAATATTAGTTTACTTCTTCTTTTATATGTACTTTGAACTTTCCTGCATGGTAATTTTCGAACAGTTTCAATATTTTCAATCCCTTTTGAAATTAATTTCATGCAATCTATATGCAGTTACCAGAAAAGATGGGATAATTTAAAGAAAAAAGAAAATCTTTTTCTAAGAGTGCTTGAATTCCTTCAGCTAATATGCTTTTTTTCTTTCATTTTTGTTTGAGTTTTCAATCTGTCATGGAAACTCATACAAAATGTAAGATAGAGCCGGATTACATTTTCTTTCATCTGTAATTTTCTTAGTTTTTTCTAACATATATGATGATTTCACTACGAAAAAGAATAGGAATTGTTGCGACGCTTATGGTTTCTAATTACAATAGAAACAGCACGCTTTGCATCCGGTATCATTAACAAAATTTGTGTATCATTAAACTTGAGCATTGCTGTTATTTGAATCTCAACTACTCTTAGTATCTTTTCATTCAGCTTTCTTTTTATTTTTTCCTGAAACAGTTTTCCCCAGACCTGTACTTGGGTTCTAGCTTAAAAATTTCCCCTTATATTCTAAGTCATTCATCTTTGACCTTTTAGTGAATCCTGCACGAACTCACAGCCACAAATGGCAAATTCTGTATATCGTAATGTTACTTCAGGTTCTGCTTCTTTCCAGGTAAATAATTCTTTTTTGAATGGCAGTTGAAATCTTCATAGTTTTTGTTCCTTATGTTTTACTGCTCGGTCCATAAGCTACATTGATTTATTTGCTAACATGAACACAAATTTAGTTCAGTTACTGAACTTATTAAGCAAAATCTTGTGATTTTCATTTTTTTTTTTTACAGATTGATCCATCTTCCCCTGTGGATACTGTTCGTAATGAGATTAGGGAAGAAAATAATCATTTGGATAAAACAGTAGAAGGACGTTGTGAACTGGTTGGCGATCAAGAAATGCAAGTCGGAGGTGGACCGATAGAGAATGAGGAACAGAGGGAATTGGAAGAACAAATTTTGGAGAAAAAAGTGAAGATTGTAATTTCATTTCTCCGACTTTCTCTTGTTCATTTATATCTCGACGTCTATTTTTCAACTTTATAAATTTAAAATTCATCTTATTTTCAGAGAGCAGCTCGTGAAAATTATGTACATGCAGTATATGTGGCAGTTCGTGAAGACTTGAAAAACGTCTTACTAAAGGATTTAATGCGCAAAATCGAAAGTGCTGCATTTGAAAAATTGGAGCAAGGATGGAAAGGAAAGGAAAAAGCTAAAATTGTGGTACTTATTCAAATGTTTCTCACCAGCGAGATAAATTAATTCCAAAACAATAATTTTGGCAAGGATTTTTATAGCGGTCTCTTAAATATTTTCATCATTCATTAACATTTTCTAAGATACGATTTGAAAGAATATGCAGCATCATTTTCTATCGTTTGATGACGAATAATATACTTCAAGATGTTAAGCCTTCATTACTCATTTCCTATTTCGTAACATATTTTCCTGCGTGTTTTTGTACTTGTAAAGCAATATAAATGAATCACTATTGGGACCGTTCAAGTTAATTTCGAACTGTTCGCAGTTAAATTTTGATCTCTGTAGAATAATCTAGAATAATCTAATAGATTTCATAAATATATGATTTCAGAGATACAGTGAAACGTATTCTTTGTGCAACTAATGTAGATTTTAACAATTTTCTATCTTTTCAGGAGCAGGATGATGATTCCTGGCAAAGTGAAGCAAAAAGTGGTGCTGTTGATACCTCAACATTGGTTGTTGATAGAACTAGCGTTCCTTCACTTAAACCAGCTGTGAGGTAGAATTGTGGTCTGCTGTTCTTCTGAGTTAAATTATTTCTAGATATCCTCGAATGAACTGTTTGAAATCAGGATCATTTGAAATTCATTTAATTTCGATTTGTTTGAATGATTAAATAGGTGTTCAAAGTTTTCTACTGACGAGTGAATTGTTTTATTCGGAAGGAAAGATGGATTAATGTTACACATAAATTTAGATCCCACTGGAGTTGCTTGCTACGTAGAAATTAAAATTCTTTCTATGAAGTAATGCTTATGCTATATTGAAATTTAACCCTTTCTCCAGTTCAAAAGATTCGCTGAACGAAGTGGTCCGACAAGTGACTGAACAGACAAGAGCTGAAATGTCGGCAGCATTTGGTCCCGACACAGCGGCGTTGTTGGGCACTGGATTATTTTTCAGAGGCTTGGGTATTGCACGAAGTATGCCTAGCTTCAAAAAGGTTGGTTATTTCTTTTTTTTTTCGAGAGTCATTAATAATTTATTCAACTGGTGTTTATGACAAACATGCAAATGAAAATTTTCTGCCTTTTTCATTTTGTAATGATGTTATTTGTTTCGTTATCTCATAACTATATTCTTACCTTTCTAAACACTGAATGATAGTGCTGTTTTTCTGTTATTGAATCATAGTGCATGTTTTATATTCTGTAATTGGTTTTTATTTTTATTTTTTAATACCTTTTTTTTAGAAAATTTCCGTAATTGGTCTTTATTTTTATTTTTTAATACCTTTTTAACTAGCACACATTTCCTGGATTTCATATTCGCATATTATCCTTAACCTGAAAGCGATTACTTCCAGAAACAAATGCATTTGTCGCCGAAACGAAAACAACGATCTAGAAGTAGTAGTTCCAGATCATTATGTTCTACCTATTCACATACAAGAAGCAACAGGACTCCGGAATCAAGTCAGAGCTGTGGAAGAAGTGAAAGTCAAAATCGCAGTAGAAGTGAAAGTAGCTTGGCTGAAGAGAGAAGTTCAGATGACGAAGATGCTAGAAGTGAAAATGGACGGTATTATTTAATTGACTGTTAGCTAGGAGTTGGTTTATCGATGTTTTCTGAAAATATCAAATTTATTTATTATGAAGTAAGCATAAAGTCTGCATCAGTACTTGAAATGATATAAATAAAAGTTAAGTCTAAAAATCAGATGCGAGCATTTAATGGAATTTGTCTGGAGTGAGGATTCCTTGGATCAAAATGTACATATTGTATTTTTTTTGAACATTGTCGTTGATATTCATTTGAAGGAACTCTTGCAAATTACACGAAGGAAACCATATTCTATTTGCTGCTTTTTGATTTCGAATTTCAGCTAGATTTATTTCACAGTTCTTGATTTCTCCGTAAAGAAATGGCTGTTGAATTGTTTTTAGAAGTACAACTGAAAGTGAGTCTACGTGTTCAACTGATCGTTTAAGTCCGACATTTTGGAGCGGAAAACACTTTGGTTCTGGAACTTTTACGCCAGTTGATGGATCAACAAGTGAAGAAAATGAAGAGGTGGAAGTTGACGAGGAGGAAGAGGGGGAGGAGGAGGAACAGGTGGGAGAACGAGGACATGTCGAAAAGGATTTCGATGAAATTAGAGCAATTAGCAAATTGTCAGCACGTTCTGGTTAGCAACTTGTTAATCAAAATAATTAGTTTTGTTTTAAATTTATATCGTAAAATGAAATAAATTTAGAGTGGGAATTTCTTATGGTTTTTGATTGTAAACAAATTTTTAATTCATCTATTTGTACATGACATGCTATTTAGGATTTTGCTATTTAACGGTGGCTTCTGTTTTGAGACTTTATCGTTTATCAAAAATAATCATTTCTAAAGCTCGGAATGTGTTAACTCCAGTGTTTCCTAAAGCTTTGTACCCCTTATATTGTTTCAGTACTTCCTAAAAAATGAACCTAGTGCAGAAAAATTCTCATATTTGGATTTTTTTGCAAAGAAAGATTTTTAATTTTTAAGGAATCGAAGAAAAGGCAATATTATTCGTCAGAACTGAAATTGAAGGAAATATTGGGTATGATGGAACTGATTCCTCAAGGTCTGCATTTTTTTGCTCATTCTTCTTGGAAATTTACGTTATAATATATTTAAATGGTTTTTCATACAAATGGATAATTTATACCTGAAAACGATTGAAATGTGGGTTGTATTTTTCAAAATAGCATTTTATTCATTAGTGAATAAATTATAGCAGTTGCACAACAACATCCCACTTGATAGAGCAGGATAAAATTACTGAAGAACTGCAGACAAAACATGGAAAGGTAAGAACTTTATCGCTTTTTTTTCAAATGAATCAGTTTAACTGATTCAAGTTTCTTGAAAACCTCGAAGTTAAGATTTTATTGCATCAAGTTTATAAAAGAATTTTTTTGAAAAATCATCCGATTCGTTTTGTATGTGAAGTGAACATATATGCGGTGAATACCTCATTGTCATTACCTTTTTTTTCTGTTGTGTTGAAAGGGAAACTTATCTCGTATCAATCGTTTAAAGGAATTTCATAAGGCTCCACATATTTAATTAATCAATTGTTTGTTTACTTTGCCCATAGTTAGCATCAATATTTCAAATTTTCAAGTTGAAATTACTGATTCGGGTTAATTAAATATATTGTTGAGGTACTTGATGTTGCGAATATGGAGGGATATTTCAACGATCACTGCTATCTTCCGGTAGAACTATCGGAACAATTGAAAAAAGAATTTGAAGAAAGCGTTTTAGTGTGCACTGTTAGTGAAATGATACCATCGGAGTACCGTGAAACGAGAAAATTGGGAAAACCAGAGGAAACACTTTTGCAACACGTGCAAGATAAAGCTGGTATGAAAATACAACTGGTGTTAAGTTATCATCTATCCTCAAGCAATTCCTTATCAGCAGATAGATCAAGCAGAGCAATTGATATCCGAGATTTTTTCGGCGCACAATATCAAGTTGCATTTTGTTCGTCTTAGAAATGCATTGGGAATGAACTAAAATACTTAAGGAATCTTTTTAGTAGTATTTATTGTTAAAACTACAGCAAAAGTGAAGAAACGATGCTATCGAAATGAACTTGCTTCGCTACTTCCACCACCCGTTGACGTGGAACGACTTGCATGGGAAATAGGTTGGAAACCTGCAAAACATTGGGAGAAACGAACTCCTGAAGAAGAAAAAAAGATCTTCTGGAAATTTGAAAAAGTTGGTTTCATTTGAATTTCGAAGTTTTTTTCTTGAATTTTCGAAAATTTTTGAAAGACTTTTTTAAACTTTATTATTGATATATAGATAAAATTTAGGGAAGAGGAATAGCGTGGTTGTTACAAGAAGTAAGATTTTAACTAGGCATTTTATTTCCTCTTCAAAATCACACGGTCTCGAGAATTTCCACTTTCAAGGAAGGCCTGGATGCAGAAGATTTGATGTTCTTGGAAAAAGCATTTCACGAGATGCAGAATGATGGAACAGCAACATGGAATAGAAAATTGTATTGGGTACCACCGAGAAAAGTGCCAGAAGTCCATCTGTTGGTTAGAAATTACTAAATACACTAAATGGAGTTAAG